TTGTTTTAATTCGTTGCTATTAGGACATGCTGTGCAGGAGTATACTTCATTGTTTTACAGATGCATATTTTGCCTAATCTGTTAATCATCACGTGTCTCTCTTTCCCTTATTCTTTGTATTCAGTTAGATATTTAGCTGTCATCATAATTTTGTTAATTTCTTACTTCTAAAAATCCCGAAAATACAAACTTCTGATTTTTTTTTTTCTCTCTTTTGATGTCACGCATATTTTGCTTTGTTATACACCTTCCTTTCCCTTTTTAGCTCCTGGTCAGTAAGATAGAGCTGGCAAGTTGCAGGATCACATTGCGCTTGCAACATTAAAACTCAACCTGCTCAGTTTAGAGACGGGACTGAACACCAAACAGGTCCTGCTTCTCTTTGTGGAACAACGCAGATTCCGTAGCATTAAAAAACGGGTTATTTTTTGCATAACAGGAAATTTGTGAATATATGTACTTAAATGTGTGTGTAGTTATAGAAGTATGAATGTACAACACACACGTAGTGGCATTAATATCTATAATCATTCCGTCAACAGTCAATCTACACAATAGTCACTTCATACAAATATAAGTATTTTCTACTGTCACCCCGACAGTAGAAAACACGCGCGTGAGTTGCTCAAAGACAGAAAACCATGATTTCTGATTTATTACTGTCATGTTCTCTATATTAATTTCTGTAAAGTCTGTAAAGGTATTATCATATTTTGGGAGAGTATGACACACGGCAGAAGAGGGCATAGGCTTGGACAGGTTTTTATGCTATCCTCTTACACGTTAAGATGATTAAATACACAGGTATACATGCATGTGCTTGCGAATCCGCAGCGCAGCATGAAGGCAAAACGTGCAAGCCAGCAGAGAGAGTGTGAGTGAGTGAGTGAGTGAGTGAGTGAGAGAGAGAGAGAGAGAGAGAGAGAGAGAGAGAGAGAGAGAGAGAGAGAGAGAGAGAGAGAGAGAGAGAGAGAGGAAGAGAGAGAGAGAGAGAGAGATAGATAGAGAGAGAAGACAGACAGAGAAAGAGAGAATGAGAGTTAGATAGATAAATAGATAGATAGAGAGAGAAAGACAGACAGACAGAGAAAGAGAGAGAGACAGACAGACAGAGAGAGCAAGGTTGAGAAAGAGAAGAAAAACGGTGAGAGACTAGATTAAGCTGTGATGAGAATATAGAATAGAGTAAAGGGAAGAGCAAACTAAGGAGAAAGGGGCTAGCAAGAAAGAGAGAATGATAAAAAAGAAAAGAAAAATGAGCGACAGACAGAGAAAGAGAGAAAGAATGAACGAGAGAGTACAGGTCAATGACTGTGCATGGTAAGGACTTCGGTCTACAGGATATGCAAAATGGCCTCATTACAGCTGTCCTTCTCAGAGACTCTCGAGTTTATTATCTATAAAATAAGGCGCTTTGGTTAACCACTCGGACACTACATCTGCTTGGAAACTGATATTTTAACGCTTTCCTCTTTCCCAAGCTTCCTCATTCCCGCTAAAATGCCTGCAAGTTGTTTTATTACGACAGAAACTGACTTTGCTGGCCAGCGGCGGAAAGTCTCGAAGAAGCACGGTGAAGTTCGTTGTGAAAATTAATGCACCGGTATCTGGATGAGGTTTTCCTTTCCGTTCGTTATTTTGTGCTGGATTTACGGGTTTTTGATTTTGAATGCACATTGGCTAAAAAAAAAAGGAAATGAATAGAAAAATAAAAACAAATTATCTGTCTGAATAATCATAATAGCGTGTCTTTCAAAGGCTTCATGTTTGCGTAAAATTAATTTACAGACATCGTTATAGTTCTCTTTATTGACTTTTGAGATACGTCCCTTCTTCTTTTGATTTTCTTTTGTTTTGTAAATTCTCATTCCTAAAACCTTTTTTAAAACATTTACATATATATATACACATATACATATATATATATGCGCGTGCGCGCGCACGTGTGTGTGTATGTATGTATGTGTGTGTGTATCTTTCTCTTTCTCTCTCCCTCTCCCTATCCCTTTCCCTCTCCCTCTCCTTCTCTCTCTCTCCCTCTCGCCCTCGTTCCAGCACAGAGGCCACACCCTGGTCTCTCACCCTCGCCCACTCTCGCTTCTTCATATTCAAGTCACGCGTATCACTTTACCTAATCCTGAACGTTCACACTCAGTGTTGTCCGAGAGACGCTAATCACACTTTTTCACTCTTAAAGCCTATGTTTATACACGATTGTAGTAGGCAGATAACATTTCGTTTTATTCCGTTTTTTCTATTCTTTGTCGTTATGTGCACCTGAAGCATATAAAGAATATCAAATAACTTTGAGATTCTGTATTACTTAGGTTATTATGTTACATTTTGTTCAGAACAAGATGAATCTTCTCGAAGGTCGTAGAGCAATTAAAAAAAAATCTAAGGGGCTATACCTCCCTACTTCAACAACGATCAAAGGTGTTTCCCCACCCACGGATTCTTAAGAATATCAGAGCTGTACCAAACTCTTTCAAACTTACTG